TAAATCCGCTGAAAATCGACGCAGGGAATAATCTCTTGTATAGCCATGTGGCCATAATCAGTCACGACACTTGCTCATTCAAGATTGGTCCCATAAAATGACCAAACTGCCCTCACCCAAGTTCTGTAGAATATTATTTCATTTCATGGCGGAATCTTGTCGGATCCGTCCATTCTCTAGACGCCGCGTTTCTATTTGTACTGATAATAGCAATTATTTGTGGTGGGTAAGACAGAAGTAGGTCCCACTCCTCCACATTCAACGTCCATGATCGCCTCCACGTCTCATCGATCTGACCACTCGGCCGAAATCAGTCATTTTCCCCAGTTGTTCAACACCCCACCACACAAGATCAGGATAAAGACACTCCCGTAGTAAATTATTGGATCCCCAATCCACGTGGTACGTGGATCCTTGGTGTCTGGTCCAAGCCAAGCCACCAGAGACTAGACAAGGTAAAAACTTAAACTCTTAAAATTTATTTTAAAATAATATTTAAAATTTTAAATTAAAAATAAAATAAATAAATCTTTTAATTTTATTAATAATACAAATAATTCATTTTTATAAAAGGATTAAATGGTATTTTATGTTTAATATGGCTGCGAAAGCATGAATACCTATGAATAAAAATGTCTTATTTGCATTATAAATAAAGTTAGAGAACTTATCTGTTTTATTTTTAATTTAAAGACTTAAATATTATTTTAAAATAAATTTGAAAGGTCAAAAAGCAGTGGCGGAGCCAGGGAGTGCTTTTGAAATTTGAAAATCTTGCAAATTAAAATATGAAAAATTATCTAACCTCCCTTAAACTTTGAAAATTTTAGTATTTTGCCCCTCGAAAAAAATTTCTGCCTCCGGCCTCCGCCCCTGTCAAGAAGGATTTTTCACTGGAGGAAGGGTTAGATTTACATCTCCCAATGGATTATTGCCATGTGCCAAACCTCTCTCTCATACTCATATATGTTATGGTAAAAAATTGATTACGAGGCAAGTTTTATCACAAAAGAAACGGTTTGGTATACAATTTTTTTCGTTCACATTATATATTATTTAATAATTAATTGTTATTTTCTTATTTTAGTAAAATTTAATATTATATAAAAATAATTTAAAGATATGTTTTATTACTTTATTATATAATTTTATATATTATTTAAATGATTAATTAATTTATTTATGTAACACATTTAATATTAAATATATTTATTCATTTAATAATAAAAAAAATCAAGATATCCTGATAATAAAAAGGTCAAAACATTTAAATACAACTATTAAATATGTGGGATATAGGGTGAGTCATAACTTTATCAAATTTATCATGTAATTATTATTAAACATACTTGTATTTTTAATACCAAGATGTCTTGATTTTTCCTTTTTTCTTAATAATATATTAGAATTATATAAAAAGATTATTCTATGTCACTTCCTTATTATATACTATTAAATGATAAAATTGTATATTAAAATATAATAAAAAA